TTACAAATTAACTATTAAGTATTACGTTTATAATGGTTAAATTTGAGTATTAGCAAACGCAAAAGTGAAATGATTGCAATTGATCATGAAACAAAGGGATTAAAAATTTTAACCATTAGTAAAATTATGGTCAAAGTTTGTTAAGTTTAATTGATAAAAAGAGAAAGAAAAAAAACTATTGAGTTGTTGATGTTTGCAGGTAGGCTATGTTTTCTCCATCTTATTTTAAAAACTTTTTAAAAGTACTAATTCTTAATAGAATTTGGTAATGAGCTACTAAATACGCAATACTCCAAACCAATTCTTCTTATTTCCGAGTTCTTATTAGAAATATCTTGAATTACTACCTTTTAAACCACCGTACGATTGGTATTGACTTTATCCTTTTTTCCGGCAATTTTTGTTTGAATATAACGTTATCATCATGTATATTTTTACTAAAATTGTATTATACCCTTGATTAAATCAATTAATGAAAAAATGGATTTTATTTTCTTTAATTCACAAGCAATGAATAATTCAATTTTTATGTTTAATTTATTTGAAGTTCGCTTGCTTGGTGCTCGAATTGAAAAAGGAAGAAGTTAATTGTTGGCTTTCTTTGTGAATTCAAAGATTTTACAAAAAAATAAAAACCCTAATTTTGCCCCAATTTGATTTATATGATAAAAATCAGAGAAGTTTAATTTGGCGGAAAATAAATCTCAATACTAGGTTATACTCCTAAATTTGAGCATAAGTTAACATTCAAAATCACTTGAAAAATTTTCAAATTGGGTGGAGGATAAGACGCAATTTTCTAATGGCGGCAATGGTGGTTGTGGTGGAATGTCGCGGGCTTTGAATTTTTATTTTTTTTTGTCCCGAGAGAAAATTCATGCTTTATTGTAAATGATTCATTTATTTTTTCTACCCTAAGGACATTTTGCTTTGAAATAGAAGAAAGTTGAAGAAGTAGAGTTCTTGGTCCTCGGAAGAGGATAATTTTTTTGTGAGCTTAGTGATGATGAACATGCAAGCAAAGAAGAAAGAGAATGAGTTGATTAGGGTTTTTTTTTTTTTAAAATAAATTCTATTTATTAAATAGCCATTTGATTAAGAAATGGTGTCATAGGCAAAAGTTGCTGGAAAAATAGGTATAAGTAGTAATAGTAATTATGAAGTGGTTTAAAAGGTAATAATTAATTTTTTTTTTTTTTTTGGAAAGTAGTAATTGACAAATTTTCATACAAATAATAGATATGATTAAGTAAGAATATAGTACAAAGAATAATTCATACCAAACTACTCATGTTCAATTGATGAATATTACATATTTCTTTTACACCAATATCAAGTATAAGGTATGGGTATAGAATGGGTGTACCCTATACTTTGTGTTTGTTTAAGAAAATTTTAAACTCATACCTCTAACCCATAAGGTATAAGATTTCCAAACTTAAAGGGGGAGGTGGGTTTGGCTCATACCAAACCTCTATGGCTCTATGTATCAATAAAAGATAAAATTCATCCTCAAATGCGAACAGTAACTAAATAAAAGGTGTTAAGAATCAAGTTTCAATCTCATATCACATTGGAATTTGGATTCATTCCTAATTCTATACCGTTACGTGAACCAAATGCTCCCTAATATATTATTTCTCTGTATAAAATGTTTAGGTCCTACATTCTCACTTATTCAATTCTTCTATAATCAAAAGACACTAATTTTCTTTAATTAAAGTCATATGACATCTACAATTGATAATTGGCGACAAGAAAATAGATTTAAGAAAATCTAACAAGAATTAACAACGGAAGCACTAAGAATTCAAATGCATATAGATAATAACAATTCGACACATTCTCAATTCGTTTTCTCATACAACTTTTTGAATAAATCCGTTGTCGCTTCGTAATTTTTGGAGGAAGAATATTCTTGTGATAAATTCGTAACCGGAATACAAGCAATCAACATCAATCGTAGCCCCACATATTGAGGCTATTCCAAGCTTAAAGAACACCTTGTCTTTCGAGATTGAAAAAATCTTGTCTTTCGAAAGAGAAAAACCCTTTCTTTCGAGGGAGGCAAGTTCCTCTCAATCGGAGGAAACAATATTATAGGCTAAAGACAAACAAAAAGCAAAGAAACTAAGATTGAGTATGCGAAGGAATCCCCTTAAAAAAATAAAATTAAATAACAATATAGACTAGGGTTTAGGAGAGAGGAGAAAGGTTAGGATTTTTAATAGATAAGCCAACAATTTAATGTGTAGAATTTTGTTCAAATCTTACAATTAAAGATTTTAAATTGATGTTCTTTTCACTTCATTTTTTGTCGAAATTACATTGTTTTCATTGAAACCATATTATTTTTTGTTTTTGAAAGTTGAAATCATATTATTTTGTTAAACTTTAATTAAATTAAATTATATTAAGTTTTCTATAAAAAATTTTTCATAAACAAATAATTTAATTTAGTTTCAATAAATATAATTTTAATTCAACACAAATAAGGTGAAAAGGATTGTGCTTTAGTATTTAATTGTCCACTTTGTAAAATGACTTATGTGTTTTAGGGTTAACTTTTTTTTTTTTTTTTTTTTAATTCACTTTGCACAATTAATTTTAACTATACGCTATGAGGAGAGCTTTGATCGTTGTTGCATATCAAATGATTTCATACCACCTTTCATATCTCTGTATTTAGCATAATTTTCATCCATGAATCTATTAATTTGTTGCTGTTTGAAGATGATTTCATTCTAATTTATGCGATGTAATCAAAAGATTAACCTTTTTTTGATTCCGCAATAATCTTTACCAATGTTTTGTTTTTTATTTTTTTTATTTATTTATTTATTTTTAATTATACTAAACTCAACTAATTGAACATGTCTCACCATATTGACATTATTTTCCAGAAATTTGGTCGATTTGACCTTTGAACCTTAGTTTTGTGAACTAATAAAATAAAAGAAGGGTAGAGTATTGTTACTTTAATACTTCCTCTGTTTTTTTTTTCACTTGACTTGTTTTTTTATCACGCTTATCAGTGCAAATTTAACGATCAACTTTAATTCTCCATAAGTAAAAATTATAAAAGTTATATATTATGAGAGTACTTGTTGAGACGAATTCACAAAAATCCCACGTGAATATGTTTTTCCTTACATATTTTTCACAAAAAACGGTCAAAGGAGGGGTGGTAAATAGTGTAAAAGTCAAAGCGGGTCAAGTAAAAAAAAGAACGGAGGAAGTATATATCAATTTTCCATGAATCCTAATTAAATAATCAGTGGGGAGAGTAAGTTTTGCCCTAGGCCTAATAGGCTACCATTTTGCTAACTCAATTGTGGGATCATGGTTAGCTGACTTAGCAGAACTAGGAACAGATTGTTCTGTTTAGGGTTCTTCTCATGGATGATTTCAATAACATTATATCCTCACAAAGAACAGTTCTCAGAAAATTCCTTATACCACACAAGCTAACCTTAGTACAGTGCCCCAATTAGATGATTTATGAGGGTTCTTTTTTGTTTGTTTTCTTTCTATATTAAGTGGGTGTTGTTGCCTACTACCTTTTTTTTCCATGTGAAATGATGTAAAGACTAAAGTTTTTAGGGTGTTGTTTCTTACTACCTTTTTTTTTCCACGTGAAATGATGTAGAGATTAAAGTTTGTATGATGTGGTAGAGGAGGCAGTTTCTTGTGGATTATTTGAAGTTTTACTTTCTTAGAAATGGAATTGTTGGATTATGATTTGTCTCAATTGAATTTAAATTGAGTGCAACTGTACGGAGTACAAACATAATGTCCTTCCTCTTGCTTCATTTAAAAAGCATATTCATGCAATCATGCAAACATTTTCAAAACCACTTAGTTTTATCAACTTATCCAAATACACTAACTTCATTATATCAATCCCTAGAAGCTTTGTTATAACGGATGCAAGAAAGAACAAATATTAAATGTAAAATTAACAAGAAAAACACACAATTTACGTGGATCACAAACAATGTGTTGGCTACGTCTACGGGCAGGCAGACAAGAGTGATAGTTTTATTGATCTTGGGGAAAACAGATTACAGATTCAGAACAGATTTGAGACCAATCACATAAAACAGATTGATTGTCTCTCAGATTTCTAATGAGAAATACACAAAAAAAACTCAGATTTCTGACAACTCAACTAATGATTGTCCCGGCTAGGAAATAACCTAGGAGTATTTATAATAATCCCTAGGTTAGGAAAGAAAGGCCTTAATTAAGGAAATAAGGCCCATGAACAAACTAATCAAAAACGGCCAAAAAAACCCCTAGACATGGGCGTGTCACAAAGGGCATGGGCGTGCCGTGCCCTGGATCAAAAACAAAGCAGTAACTTGGAAACAAAACGACATGAGCATGTCAGATTTTGATATGGGCGTGTCAGTGCGAATGCTCATATTTTTCGTTGAGGCACGCCTATGTCTCCCTAAGGCGTGGGCGTGTCTCGCTACACCTTCCCATCTTTGCGGCACGAGTTTCCTAGCTCACGATTCAAGGCTCTAGATTCAAGGCACTATTTCTTACAAGCTTTGCATCAACCCATATCTCGCCTCCTTAAGTATTAAGCTGTTAATTATTTTGATTTTGCTTACACTTGTTTTCTGCTCTCTTGTTTGTAGTGTTATGTTTGACCAAATACACATGACTGATGAAACAGGATCCTTATGTAGTTATGATAATAGGATCATATTTTCAACTTTTAAATTGCTTCACCTTTCTAAGTAAAAGTGATATTGAAGAACAATGACTTGCTTTTGACTGTCAATGTTCCTGATGGACAAATGCTCACAACAATCTTTTATGTACCTAAGATCATCAAAACTTTTGCCTTGGAAATGTGTGTTTCATTGGATCTATGATGATTGCCAAAGCTTTCCCCAATGGTATTTGTAAACTGGCACTTGCCATACTAATCTATAATATTGTAATGTATCTTAACTTGAATGTGTTTTTAATTGGTCCCTATCAAGGATGACACAAGTGCTTCAACGGCATATGCTACATGCAGACAACATCAACAAGCTAGAGGAATCATCACTAGAGCTAGAGGTAAGCTATATCTAAAGCAACTGTGTTAACTACATTTTGAGGTATTTTTGTTAGAAAATTTGCTAAAAGCATGCACAAACACCTTGTTCATAAGATTTTTACTAGAAAGAAAAAAATTTGTGCTTTCTTTATTTGTAGTCATGGTTTGGAAATAGGACATAAAATGGATGTCAATGCTACATTAGATTCTTCAAGGAGACATAATGAAGTTAGGGTTCTACTGTTCTCATATAGTCATATGGGCTTTGCAGCTTTGCTGTTGGAATCACTTTCATTTGCTAAGTCGTGAAGATGGAGTGAATTCTAGGTGAATTGGAGGCATTAATATAGCCTTTTTGTAAATTACTAGTGTATTACTCCATAATATCTATTCAAAACAATTCCTACCCTAGCTAATAGACTAACAGTGTCTGATTTCCTTTGTCCCAAATGCAAGCGGCCTAGGGTTATTGGTAGAAAGATTTCTTCTAACAGTCTCTTGTTTCAACAATTCTGGAGTTATCGACTTCTCCAATTCTTCGAAATCATAGATTAGTGTGTGTTGTTGATTTAGTCCTTTGTGCGGAGAATTTACTTTTCTATTGCATATACGGAGTAGTTGGAAAGATTTTCCTAGCATAATTAGGTTATGCAGACTTTCATGTGTTCAAATTGATATAAACTCAGGAAAATTAAGTCCCCGTTAGTAATTCATTAAGACAAAACAGAATCAAGGTAAAGGATCATATGCATAACTTGAATATTATTACTTCTAGAAAAACAAAGAAACCCAACTCATACAATGAAACTCTTTATCTTTCAAAGAAGGTAGTAAAATCACTTTTCATTACTTAAATCCATTAGGTGATACATTGATTTGATGCAACTTTTCTTGTGTTTGTAGGCTGAGGATAGTTTGTGTACTATGCTAAGCAAAGAACTCGAGGACAAGACTCGAGACATAAGGTAAACTACTTAGTAACTCTTCTCGTTCTAGTAAGCTTTGTATGCTATGCTTTAGGATCCGTGTTTACATGTAAGTTATGATCCTGGGACAGTCGTATAAATGGAGAAGATCTTGAAGCATTGAGCCTTGATGAGCTAATGAAATTAGAAAGACAAGTTGAAAGGGGTCAAACCAAAATTCGCCGAGCCAAGGTTGTGTTCTTTACTTGAAACAAACTTACATCAATCATGTACAGTTTATATTATTACATTAAATCACGGAATTTTTATGGCTTGAACTTGGTGATCGTGTTCAGGGTGAAAAACTTCGGAAAGAGATTGTCACCCTCAAGGGAAAGGTACACTTTTTGGCTCATATTGCATTTTCTGTTATGTATTCTGGACACATCATCTCACCTCAAATACTCGTGTCACATAACTATGTTTTCATAGTCACTTACTCGTCTATGAGTTTAAGCAACATAGATTTTCACGTATTTGCACTTATTTTCTTTGATGTTGCTGGTACATTGAAATGTGATGGCGCAACTGGGACAAGTAGGAAATTGAAACGGCAAAGGAAAATCAAATGTTGAAAGAACAGGTGGAAGTGACCTCGAAATTTATTTTACATCTTCTGTTCCCAAAGAAAGTTTCTCGATTAAGAAGTAAAATAGTTGTCTTGGTCAATACTACAGATGAAAGATGTGTCAAAAGAACATTTTTCTCTGCTGCATTTGGCTGCGGAATCAGATATCAGCGTTCCCTCATCAGCTCCAATTCAATGGCTGCCAAAAAAAGATAACAACTCGATTTCAAATACTTTTCTTACATTGGGGTGAGTGTGTTACCAGTATTCTCTATTTCATATGCTTATCTATTCCCTCTGTTCCTTGAAAATCTTTATACTTTCTGTTTTCATCCGTTCCATAATGCTCTCTTGTTTACGTTTTCATCACTTAGTTGGGGCTTATGTTCTTATTAATTTGAGTGCAGCCCTCCTGTACAAAGTGAAAATTTATGAAGTGTATTGCAAATTTGCAATAAAGCGCGAGCTATGGAGTATATGAAAGCAGATTTATGTATACTATAGTCATGGAGAGAAGGATAAAGCTATATATATGTTGAATGTATTTAAATTGTGCTGCTTGGAATTCTAGTCAGCTTTGTAAACCCTAATTCAGACGATGCAGTAGTAAGTAAATAATGCAGGAGGCAGAAGTTGAAGGTGTTCAAGTCTTTGTAAGTGTTATATTCTCTTACTTTCTTTAATTCTCTGTGCCCTAGTTCTTTGTGAATTACCTTTGACAGAAAAATATGTTTGATATAACTGATTGAGATGTGGGTAATCCTACAGCATTTTTGCATTGCTTTTGTTCAATTGTCTCATAGGTGCAACGCATAACGTGTATGGGTTTATATGGTGCGACTATGTGTCTTTGTGAGCACCATATAATTCGTGTTTGCTTCAAATCAAATAAATTGAAAAGTATCTTGTTACAAGTTTGGGTCATTGTTGAGTAACTGGCTAAGTACTAGCCAATGATACCAATTGGACTTTTATCATTTCGTCTTTGTTTTCTATCAATAGGGAGTATGAAGTTTTTGTAATTAAGATTTTGGGTCCAATTTGATATCTTGGTCGATTGTTAGTTTGTTACCCATTGTCATTTTTTGGGCTTTTGTCATTTCGTCTTTGTTTTGATAAATGACTAAATGTAGAAGTATGTTGTTATAAAGTACAATGTTAGGGTATTTACAGTGGGTAATTGCTAGCCAATTAGGATTTAATTATTTCGTCTTTTTAGGCAAAAGAAGAAGTTATTTTGTGGTTTACATTTTTGAGCCATCCATGTTAGGTAATTGGCCAAATAACTAGCCGATGACCCCGATTGGACTTTTATCATTTCGACTTAGTTTTGATAGATAAAATAGTGCCTTGTGATTAGGGTTTTACTGTTTTAGACCATCTGCGTTAGGGTAGTTGCTAGGCAACATCACTTATTGGGCTTTTTTATATGCCTATTGAAAGTTTATTTTATGTTTTTTTCACTAATCTGAAGCTGAAATTTCTGTACAACCTGCTGTTTTGAAGTTTGGATTTGCTGCACCATAAGTTGAGCTTGTTTGTTTACGACAGAGTACTTTGTTTTACTAAACCAAATTTCAATTCTATAATTTTGTGGAACACCAATAACTCTAACAACATAGTTAGTTCAGATATCATATTAGTAACCTGCTATTTGACCTGACTAGAAAGCTTCTTTTACTAGACTGGTATACGGAGTTCAAAGTGACTTAATGAAGTACTAATGTACATGCATATACTAATTGTTCGAGAGCATTAAAGAGTTCATTTAAATCTACGCTAAATGCAAAGCACTTCTTCGTAAATTTCTGTAAGATTGGAAGCGGATAGGTGGATGTAACCATGTAAGTAACACTGTAACACCCCAAAAAATATTAGAAACGTGACTACATGAGACAATAAAAAAAAAAAAAATTAAAAAAAAAACATGCAAGTCCCCGTACCATTTGACTTATTACATCTTTTGCAACCGTCCTTTGTAAATAGATACGTAGTAAGAGAAACTCGTACTAGCTGTTACGGAGTACATTGTTACCAGCATAGTGAGCTTTTTTTCTCCAAGGTCATTTTCGTGCACTGAAGCAGTTCAGTTTGAAAGGAATTGCAGGCATAGAGGCTTTTCATGGGGCCTTCAGACTTGGACAATTCTAACATTGGAGTAGCAAATGATCTTACAGTAATACTTTCTCTTAGCTTATTTTTGAGGCGTTTATCTATATCTTGTTTTGTTAGGTGTCCATTGTAAATGAGTTGATTGACTGCTTGTTTCCTGCATCAATGAGAGTGATCTGTGTATCTTTAACATTAGGTTTGATAAAATGAACTTAACACGTAAAGGAATCACAATGTATCATTTATTCTATAACAGTACCCCAGCCCAAGAATAATACTCGTAGCTAGTAAGTGTTCACCATTATAGTATCAAACATGGAGAGGAAGTCCATGCCCATAATTACTATTGTCATGAATAAAAATAACAAGTGTCTGCTGGTATATTTAGACCTTATATTGGTATAGTAATTATACCAACATGAAATCTAAAAATACCAATAGGACTTTGTTATTGTCATTGTAGACATGAGCAATTATTGATTCAGACAACGATACTTACAATAAAAGCATTATAATTAAAATACATGAAGATATCACAAAAATTATTGTCAAACACGCTCTAAGTGCTCTTATAATACAATTAGTCAACAAAAAATTGCATGATATGAATTGAATCAATACCCTAAAACTTATACACTAGCAACAAAATTACCAAGTCAAAAATATCACACACGTGGAAGTTGAAAAAAGATGAACTTGGGACCAGCAGGATGTAAAAGTACACAAAATTAATGATTTACATAAGAAATATCATAACCAACCCTGCAAACTAATTAAACCCTTTTGTCTTAAGCTACAACCTTTAGTGCAATTATTTCTGTAATTTCTTTCTGAAGAGTGAAGAGTGTTTAAAGAGTGCTGAATGTTAAGTACACTAACAACTAAAAAAGTAACAATTATGTATGATGCGTAATTTTCACTTGTTAATTAACAGCCTTATGTTTCTTTATTTATTCCTTCTGTATCCCCTCCTTATTTGATCAATTGTTATTGTAACTTGCTTGAATTGGTCGTTGTAGCCTTTAGGAAGCATAAGTGTACAACGCCTACATTTATATCCTGTGTATTCTTCTGCTTGAATTATTGGATGCAATGTCACCCAAAGGAAGCGAATTAGCGAAAGGTACTTTGGTTTAACCTCAATGTAATTACATGATAGAAAGCTGTACGAGTATGTGCTACTTTATAACTTTTGTTCTCGTGTCATCTTTTTTATACTCTTTTGTTTCTTTTTGTTAATCGTTCGTTTTAAAAATTACAGACAATGTGTATTTGAATTTGATTAACTATCTTTTATCATCTTCCCTAGCTCGGATTCTTAGAAACAAGCCCATCAAATCTAAGATATTATGTGTATCCACAGGATAATATACTAGTTTACTCTTTGATATAGTATCCACACGATTTAGTGACCTAAGCTTTGTACAATTTTACAAACTAAATAGAAGAGCTTGTTAAATTGATTAACATCTAGCTAATTAATAATTTTGGTTTGTACTAATCATAGTCACGACCCCACTTTCAATCTAGTGATGTGCCTTTTGTTCTTAATTACCACACTCTCTAATATTGGTTACAATTAGTCACATGAGACATTTTTTTTTTTTGCAATTCTAGACTTAGCTTAGATTTTAACCCCTACAATAATTCTATAAGTTAAATTCGCACATAATGCACAATAGTCCATTTTAATTCCAATAAATTAGCTTCTCACTTGTCTGCTAATAGCCTAATAAGTAGTGTAATTAAGAAAAAACACCTACTAATAGTATAGGCTTACTATTATTGAACACCAGTTACGTTTTTGTTGTATACCAAAATGGTTTAGATAGAATACTAGTAAATGACAACATTCTTGATGTGTCTGTTATATACACGAGTTATTTGTGATGAGTAGTCGGACCGCAAAAGAATATCAACCCTTAGACATTAATTGTGACACCAATAATCAACCCTTAAATGGACTGAAAGCACCAGAATCCGGAAAGATTGTAGTAACGCCAAACCACCGTTGATCATTCACGTGCATTGCACATCCAATGATGATATCACTCACAAAATACATCACCATTTGTTGGGCCGTTGTTTACATGTGTAAGTATAGACGCAATTGTAATGTTGATGCATAATTCAGCCTTTTGAATGGTTGCAACAAACCAATTGTTCAATCCGTCTTGTATTGTGCACCCATGTTTCGGTTAAGTTTAGTTTGGAATTTTAGATAAATATAAGAATTTTCTGACATATTATTTTTTCCAGACAAATATTAAGTCGAATTTTGTTAAGTCAATTTGACGTTTTATTAGTTCTTTTGCATAATACTTATAACAATTTGACTTTTTATTAGTAGTTTCAGTATGTAATAACAGTTTTTGAAGGACTATATGATATGCATGTGTAAACATGTATGATGTATAGTTAAAGTCATAACTCATAAGTATAATTAGAACAAAAAAAAAAATGATAAAATAAACACTTTATGTGCACTGAATGCAAACAAGCTAAGATAATGTGCCAAACTCTTCGCTTTCCAACTTCCTATACATAGCCGTTTTTATTCATCAAGGACACAAGAGCTCAAAAATCCAAATAATTAGATGTAAATAAAATACAGAAAACAATTTTGTTTTTAGCATAAATAGTCAAAAATCATACTAGGTAACAAATTTGTTTGAGAGAGATTGAGAAAATCACGTTTAGCCATTTAAAAATAAAAAGCCCCACAAATTTTTTCACAAACAAACTCACCTTAAACGAGGGTAATCTCCTCTTGAATTCTTAAGTGATTTCTAGTAAAGATATAAGTTAATAGATTAAACTATAGAAAAAATTATAAAATTAGGATGTATAACACATAGTATATTGTCATTTGATTGATAAATTTATCGCGTGTCATTTTATATAAATCTTCTCCTTTTGCTTTTTCTTCGATTTTTAGGAATGTAAAAGTAATGTTTCCTATACGCTAATGCAATCACATAAACCTTCTTCCTATTTCGATTATTCGTATGTAATAAAGCGATGTGTAACAAAAAATAGTAGTTCGGAAATGTGACTTGTAAAACGCTTTCATCAAAATGTTTCTATAGACATAATAAGAATACTTCGAAATTAAGATGACTTGAGGAAAAACGATGTTATGTTTAAGAACAGGGCTAAATGATTTAGTTGGACAACATATTTTTTTTTTTTGACAACGGTCAGTTGGACAACATAAATGAAGGAATTCAAGCAATTCACAATTCACAATTCACATCATGCCTTTCCAATTTTATTTACCTCTAGAGAGTATGAGTCTATGACTATGATGTTGTTGGAATTGGACCAATACTAGAGTGTTGTTGGGCCTGTTGGCTAGTGTAATATTAAGCCCATTGCACCTTTTGTGCTCTTAAGCCTTCTGTTTCTAGGTCTAATTAAGATTATTTTGGCTATTTATAAGATGCTACTTGGTGTCTTGGTAATTTGGTATACACAGTAATAATACAGTACACTATTTACATAATCTATCTTGGTTCTTGACCATTTTAGATCCATCTCAATATACTTGTATGTTGGTAATTATCATATTTTTTATATGCATAATTTAATTTATTGATTATTAAATATATTTATGATTAAAATTATTATCCTCTTAAAATTTAGCAAGATTCTCTTCTTAAAAAACATGCACTAGTAGAAAAATTGTTTTTTACCACCCCACATACGCTACGCTTAAAATAAAAACCGTAACAATATTAAAGTAATATTAAAACTAGTTCAAGAAAACAATAATAATTAATAAGAGTACAGTTAATATAAAAATTGTAGTCTAAAATGAAAATGCTACGGTTTTTATAACCGTAACATTTTAAACATAGTATGTCCGCCCAATTATATTAAACATAGTATGTCCGCCCAATTAAAAATATAGGAACAAAACCCTTGTTTAGATTTGGAAGAGTGGAAGAACAGCCTCCTTTCATTCTCCTTCGCTCTCCTCAACACTCATCAACTCACACTAAGTTCCCGACCACTCAACAGCGCCGCCGATTCGGGTTTCCGGCCAACACGCTTCCCACTCCTTCGTTTCCTCTTGCGTGGTCCCTCTTTCCCGCTCGATTTCCCGTTGAAGCGCTGTTCACAATACTCTCCATTCGTGCGGCTTCTGAAATCCTCTATCCTCCAATGAAGCAGATTCTGAGGTAAGATGTTGCTTCTTTTTATATTTATCCTATATCAATTTCACAATTTAGGGTCCTCGTTAATTTGATTATTAATCATTCTTCTGATTAAATTTTTTAGTAGTTTTGGTTTGAAATCAATGAAATTATGACATTTTGCTGGTTAATATAACAAATTCACTACATTGCCGATTGTGATAGAATTTAAGTTTGTTTTTCGAATTTAGGGTTCAATTCTCGGATTTAGGGTTCAGCGATAGCAATAGATTTTTCGCAGAAATCAGAAGCCATTTGTTTCGTTTCTTTGAGATATAGGGTTTTTATACTTGATTTTATGGAATTTTGGCCGTATTTTTTTGTTGTTGTTGTGTTCTCGGTTTCAACAAGGTAAGATCTCTTCTTCACTTTTCTAGTTGTTTTCATACTACATAGATTTTAGGAGGGGGCGAGCCCCTATTAATCTCTGGGATCAACGTTTCTTTTATATCCCACCAACCATGTGCTGCCACGTCACCTTATTTAAATAAAAAAAAAAGTCGCTGTAGCTGTTGGCCCATTCTGCCGTTATCAGACGGCGTTACATCCAAATTTGACACCGTTAATTTGCAAACTTTGTGAAACAGGCAATACCTCACTCTCTCTCACAATCGCTTTTTACAGTAAAAAGGAACTTTGCTTCCTGATGGTTCCCCCGTATTCCCGGTGGTTGAAATTTGTTGTATTCATCTTCAGTGGTGTTCATGTGTGTCCAGTTTGCGCCGTTTGTTCGGTGAAGGTTAGTTTATTTTGACCATAGTTGATTTGATTTTGTTTAATTATGGGCCCAATTATTTGTAATGGGTTGTGCGTAATTGTGGAATTGCACCCTTTGTTGCTTAATTTGATATATTTCGTTGTTTGAATTCGGTAAAGGTTAGTTTATTTTCACATTTGATTTTGTTTAATTATGGCTTCAATTTTTGGTAATTGGTTGTGCGTAACTGTAGAATTGCACCCTTTGTTGGTTAATTTGATATATTTCGTTGTTTGAATTTGGTAAAGGTTAGATTACTTTCACCATAGTTGATTAATTATGACCCAATTTAGTTGATTAATTATGACCCAATTTTTAGTAATTGGTATTGGGTTACTTTGGAATTGGACCCTTCTGGTGATTAATTTGATATATTTTGTTGTATGAATGATTATAGTAACTTAGAAAATTGCATTGTTTGATTTTGGTTATGATTATCTCCCAAGGCTATACCTTTCAATCGAGTCCATATTGTATAGTTACGTACTACTTTACCGTTAATAGTGTTCATAAGAGAGAACGATTTGTAAATGGCAAAAAAGAAATTTATGTATAAGTTAAATGCATATTCTTACGATTTTGTGTTTCATTACATTAACAAAAACAAAGCGATATAATTATAAATATATATATATATATACACACACATAACCATTTTTATATGTATGTATACATATGTAATAAAATTTTAATGTATCTTTAAAGCTAATAATACACTTTCATAATAAATTCATTTTACCATTCTATACCTTATCCTAATTTGACTATTTATAATTAAATATAATTCGCCAATTATAGAAGATATTATTGCATAGCTGACTTAAAAAGATGCAAATCTGATCTCTTACGTCTAGTACAAGACTTGTGCGCCAAAATTTGCCAAAAGCATGATTACATATGAATAGTCCCTTGACTTTTTCAGCTTGGTGAAGTGACAATACATACATCCTACTTCATTTGTAAATGTGTCATGTACTTGTTTAAAGAATATATGTAGGGTAGTAGGCATCCATTTTCATGAGAAATATTATATAAATCATGTTATTCTAATTCCAACGAAAGAATAAGCACTCTTTTCGTTGTTTAATACTTCATCACTCATGTCTTATTTTTAATCACGTGCTACATATCATTAATAAGTATTGCTCACTCCAAATATTGCATACTCTAATTACCCGAAATCATTTGCTACTCATAAAAAAATCCATATTGTTTGCAAGTCTCTAAGAGCATACGTGGCAGTACTTGTACTTGTCTTGTGCTCTACCCCCTTGCTTCTCTATAAAAGCAATGTTATTGCATTGGATATAGTATCCTTTACCTGTTTTGCAATTCCTAAGCCCTAAATTTCTTCAAACAAATTCACAATGGCAAACCAACCCTTTGATCCCGAAAACCCGGTATACCCTCCTCGCTGCTACGTTGTTCCCACACCTAACAAAATTACTTTCCGTGACCCTAACAACACCGGCCGACCCGAAATGAACTTTAACAAGTTTATGTACTTTTCACCCAAACCCGGAAATGGCAACCTTCAAATTTTGAGTGACCAATGCATTAGGGACATCATTAGGAGCCCTAAAAGCCCGTGAGAGCCAAAGTTGCATGGAATGGTCATGATTGGTCCCGGTGTAACAGATCCCGTGCCCGCACACCTTCCCAATATGGTTGATATTGTGGGTGTAGTTGATGTGAAAGAGCTTTTTAACAAGCTCAACAAGGAAGTGCTTGTTTACAATCCCAACGACATCAGTGAGGTAATTCTAGATTTTCTTCTCAATGTAGTTGATCCTACACAACTAGCCTGTTGCTCCGATGGTTTTCAAGCATTTTATTTGCATTCCAATATTAGTGAAGTCATTGTTAGAGTTTGTGCTATTAGGTTTATGATAGACCCATTTATAAGGTACATGGATGTTAACCTCGAGACTAAATATAAGGCGGGTAGTTTGGCATTTCCTTTAGGTGCATCAATTGTTGTGTGGAATGCACGTGTTGTTAGTCGCCCTTCCTTTAAGTCAAACACCCTTGAAATTGTGTCCGTTCACAAACCCATCATTTTCATAATAACTGAAGCTAGAATTGGTCGGAAGTCTTTCAAGGAAGTGGTGAAGGGACGAGAGTGAAGGCAATGCAGGTGGTGTGGCTGTGATTTGGAATGAGAAGAAGGTCAAATCCGTGAATAAGTAGAAAACCATCAAATCAAAACGAAGTAGGGTAATGATGACAAATATTTAAAAGAATAAAACGGAACTTCTTTCTTCCAAGAGTACTATTTTACATCTTAAAACTAAATGAATAGAAAGAAACTTTTTGTACGTATCTTTATGCATAATATCTATGCACACGTGTGTTTTGATAATTTTTCATTACCGCGTATTAATTTTAGGGAAAATTGTGTAAAACTACCCGGAAGATAGACTGTTTTGTGAAAAACTACCCATTTTTTTTATTTGTTTACAACTACCCGCAAGTTTGAAAACGTTTGGGTAGCACTACCCATTAATGTTTTTCATCCAAAAAACCGTTAGTGGGCCCCACATTGTACACGTGTCAATTTTTTATTGGATAAAAAACTTAAAAAAAAAAATCAACAAACAAAACCCAGCCACCCCAACCACCGTGAAACCCTAGCCTTTACCCCCAGCCACCGCCAAAATCCGCCCGGCCGCCACCCTAAACCTCCGAAAACGGCCGACCACCTCTCCTAGCCCACACCACCAACTCCACTCACCCTGAACCACCGCAAAACCAAACCGAAACCACCTCCACTCAGCCTGAACCACCACAAAACCAAACCGAAACCACCTCCACTCAGCCTGAACCACCGCAAAACCAACTCGAATAATCACATAATTGCAGATAGCAAAATTGCAGCAACAAAATCACTCATAATAAGCAATCATAACTTGAATAATCACAACCAAATAGTTCAATAATCCACCTTACCCTAATACTAACAATTAAATTAACGATAGTGTGAAAGTTAAACCCTAGATTGTGAAATTAATATTCGATGATTGAAATTAAGATGAGAAAAATAAAAGGTGTATTATTACCTTAGAAGGTGGCTTCAATGGAGGAGAGAGAAAGCTTGGAAGTGCGCTTCAATGGAGAATTGAAGAGTATGCTTCAATGGAGGAGAGAGAAAGAGAGAGAAGTTGCAGCGTAAAAGTGAAAAGCTCCAATTAGAGATGGTGGTGTGGGCTGGGAGTGGTGGCCGGCCGTTTTCGGAGGTTAAGGAGGGCAGCCGGCCGGATTTTGGTGGTGGCTGGGGGTCGGGGCTAGGGTTTCACAGTGGTTGGGGTGGCTACTTGGGGTGGCAGGGTTTTGTTTTTTCCTTTTTTTTTTAATTTTTTTATCCAATAAAAAATTGACACGTGTACAATGTGGGGCTCACTAACGGTTTTTTTGGATTGAAAATGTTATAGGTAGTTAACCTTTACTGAATTCAAACAACGAAATATATCAAATTAAGCAACAAAGGGTGCAATTCCACAATTACGCAAAACCAATTACAAATAATTGGACCCATAATTAAACTAAATCAAATCAACTATGGTTAAAATAAACTAACCTTCACCGAACAAACGGCGCAAACTGGACACACACGAACACCACTGAAGATGAATACAACAAATTTCAACCACCGGGAATACGGGGGAACCATCAGGAAGCAAAGTTCCTTTTTACTGTAAAATGCGATTGTGAGAGAGAGTGAGGTATTGCCTGTTTCACAAAGTTTGCTAATTAACGGTGTCAAATTTGGATGTAATGCCGTCTGATAACGGCAGAATGGGCCAACAGCTACAACGACTTTTTTTTTATTTAAATATGATGACGTGGCAGCACATGGTTGGTGGGATATAAAAGAAACGTTGATCCCAGAGATTAATGGGGGCTCGCCCCTATTTTTTGCACAAATTATAGAATTACAAGCAGATTTTTGAATAACAGATTCATGGGGTTCAATTGTAACTGACTTTATTATTTATTTATTTTTACTGTTTTATTGCTATTTTTTTGCATGAATATTAGAAATAGAAATAGGGGTGATGTGGGTTGCATTGTGATAAAGTGAATTATGATGACTGGATAGGACGTTGTAAACCTTGTAATTGAGGCTTGGGTGTTTATATGGCAGAGTACATGTTCATTTGTAGGTAAGATATTTCATAAATTATGGGACGGTTGTTTTTTTTTTTTTTTTTTCCTTCTTTGTGTATAACTAGAAATCAGGAAGCTAGTGGTAGCTTAGCAGTTCATCTAAGAATATTCATAAATGACGAAGACTATTCCGTATAGAAGATCTTAAGTTTGACTTTGTAAGCCACTAGAATGGCCATTCTATGAGTTGATTTCCTATTTTAAGGGTTTCTTGCTGCTTTCTCAAAATCCCACACCTGTGAAGTCTCTAATATCATCTTTGTTGTTTATATTTCCTTCTAAGTTCCTCTGAATAAGATGTACCTACTGTAGTGTAAATTTGCTGTACTGGCTTCCTGAATAAAGCTGGTTCACTGTTTATGTGTCCTTATAGAAAGTAGCTATGTGTTTCATATGTACATAAAAATGTATACAGTAAGCCTAGTTAATTAACCCCAAATCAGTCTCATGTAGAATTACTTTGTTTGATTTGGTTGTCCTATTCTTTTCTAGTAATGTATATATTAATAAAATTGTCTACTTTTAGACTTGCTGGGAACGTGTACATCAGTACATGGGTGGTTATAATTGCTAGAATGAAGATTAAATTAGATTTGTAAAGAATGCAAATCCTAATGAACATGACATTTAATTTATATCTTATTGATATTTTAATTTGCCAAGTTATATCTAAGGGACCCTTTGCCTTTGATAGACTACATGTAAAATCGGTATCCAACATGCTTATATCCTTATGTTAAATGCTAATTCATTGATTCATTATATAGTTGATTGGTTTGAAAACTTGTCAGTGGTGCCTGCTTGATTATGTGATTATGGAGATATTCTTTATAAAGAATAGAGTGAAAAGCGTAATTTTAATTGAATAGTATTTTTGACTTGCTGAATTAAGAATATTTTTGAAATTTTTTGACTTCTAACTCTGTATCCAGGAATCCTTGTACTTGAAGCTTTGGGATTAGGAAACTGGGTAAAAGGTTAAGAATGGGCTGCTATTCCAGGAGATCAAGCAACCTACTTAGCCGACTGTGTTCTATGGGGAAACCCCTTCCTACACTTTTGGCAATTGAGTTTTTAACTACCAAATTCGTAGAGCACTTAAGGAGAATAGAGAAAGATACATAGAAGGAGGACCCTGGTGGATCATTCGGTCTGTTGGATACTCTAAGGACCCAGAGAAGTTCGAGAGAGTTGGAGGTCAAAAAGATTAATACTGGTAACACCATTAATCTTTCTTAATCAATGAAATTTTAACTTGCTGTTATCAGGTTGTAATTGGTTTTGTCTGGTAATTAACTTGCTTTCGTCTCGTCTTTTCTTTGGCTGTTGATTATTTTGGTGCAGATACTAATATGATTCATGAACTTAATAGCTTCTGTACTGCTTTTACATGAAATTGTTAATGGTCTTCTATCTTCACACGCAAAGCTGGAATCTTCCTTGCTTTGTTCTACCTGCTGTCTTAATTGAACTATTGCTCACTTGCAACCAAATGCCTACTCCACATTGCTTTTTATCTGGTGGCTGCAACAATTAATGTAAATCAAGACCAAATCTTTATGCTAAATTCTACTAAGTTTATTCGAAATTCTTTATTTTTACCAACTGTTAAACTTGAGTCTATTACAATGATAGATGGGAAGATTGGGAACTTTTATATCTAGTTGCCTTATGTAGTCTTGGGCATTAATTAATTATACTGATATACTCTTGATGCTCATTCATTTGCTGTGCTGCTAAAGCATTTTGGTGTCACTAGTACACTGCGTAGTCCTATGTAATAGTGTTTGCAGGCCTTAATTTCTGACAAGATTAATGAAAATATTCTCCGTTTTTGATGCCAGCACAGACCTTGCTGCAGTATTGTTCAGGTAATAGGGAACTGGCAACTGCTGAATGTGCGGAATTCCAGTGCATTAATTACTTTCCACACTGGCTGGGTCACTGATTCCGAGCCTAGTCAAATGTTTACTCTTTAAATTGGACAGCTTGTTAACTTGTGAAAATAGCAAGTTCCCTTCTAACTATCGTTCTATTAGGCTTATTATGCCTGCTTTCCTTGCATCTGAACACTAAAGCTATATTTATGTCTTAAAGGTAAATTCACTAGTGTCAATGAAGTTTTATATCATGCGTTTTTTCTCTAAAGCATCATATTGCAGGTTATGACTCCTATCTCACTGCTCAACTTGCTGGGCAATATGTTGCAGTTGATTCATCATGACATTGATGCTGCTTCTGTCTTTGATGCTGCTACTACTTCTGTGCTGCTACTGTTCTGCCTATGTGGTGCCCTAAGTCGGTTTTGAACGACCATTGCCTATTTGCCTTTTTCTACTACTGAGATGATCGAGCATGCTTGTGTCCAAAGCCGATGTTGTTGCGGTTTTCATTTGTTAAATAGGCTGCTAGCCTTATTTGTAATGTCTTCTTATTTGTAAAAAGTATACATTGTATAACTAAGATAAATTCTATGAAAAAAAAATGTTTTTTATGTATATGTTATACACTTATCATTAATTAAGCTTTAAAAATGCAAAAAAATATATTTATTTTTTTTAAAAAAAAAATTTGGACCACTTAATGCTACGGTTTAGAAAAAATGCAAAAGCTCTACGGTTTTTAAAAAAAACCATAGAACCGTAGCAAATAGTTTTCCTTATTCGCTACACCCACTAGTTCTATGGTTCAAAGTTTCAAACCCGTAGTAAATATCCCTAAAAAAACCGTACTAAATGTCATTTTTTCTACTAGTGACGAGTTCTATATCATATTGAATTATTAACATAGTCAAAGTTGAGTCAAAACTCAAAACATGAGATTGTATCACATCATACCAAACCAGAATAATTTAAGCCTAACCAAATCACAACTTATAAAATTTAAGATGATAATATCTTAGTTTAGACGAAGATAACTTATACTCAAAACTTGGATAGTGAGGATTGGGGTCAAATAACCCTGTTAACTTTTGTGGTTCCATTATTCAACAAAGGAAAAGTTGACAATATTATGGTAGACAGTCTAGACACTAGACAGCATTGCATGCAACATGCAAGATCTGGTTTCGAACATATTCGATTGTGAGATTATGGACCGGCCCACTTAGGTGTGGTCCTCCACTCTGGCAACAGGCCCACTGTGGCTGCCTGCCACTGAATTTACGAGTTAACTTGAATAATTCTTACTTATTTTTACCATTAATTTTTATTTAGTTCAACTACAACACAACATAGTCAGGCAGAATGTTGTTTGATTAAATTTGATTTAACATAAGGATCTTATTATTCAAAAAGAGAAATATTTAAGGGACGAAAAGTGTATTAGTTATATGTGACTTACGCACTTTATTTTTTATTTTTTATTTTTTTTATTGTACTGTAATGTACAAAATGTAAAACTTAGTGTTTATTTGGTTGACAAAATAAAATTGGGAAAGTGAAAAATCATGGAAATTGGCAAGTTGAATAGTTATTTGTTTGACAAAAAAATATAAATGGGGACATTAATTTCAACTTCCTACAAAATATAGGAAATAAAATTAGCAAGGTCCCCCTTGTTCAATCAAAATTATAGGAATTTCAACTTTTCATTGTAACATCCAAACAATTTCTAGGAATTTCATTAGGGAAATAACTTTCCATAGAATATAACTTCATATGATAACTTATTTTTCGTGTTAACTAAATGAGGCCTTATTGATAAATATAAATTTTAAACTAGGTATTGTTAAGTTAAGAAGTATTTCTAGATAAAACCATATCATGTGCATTCGAAATTCATGAACATTAAATAATTTGCGAGATTGCCAAACTTTTTTTTGGTAAGATGATTCAAACATCTATAATTTACTAGCGTGAGTAAAATTTGTAATGCAAAATTTTATTTTATATAGGTATGATTTTTAAAAAACTACAAAAAAGCAAGACCTTTGTACGGTAGTACTCCGTATCTAATAGCAAGACCTGTGGCTAGGGTCGAATTTTGTGTAACTTTGTTTTTTTTAATGGTAATAAGATATAGGAAGGGGGATGAAGATCGAACCACCATAACACTCGACGGAGGGACAAACCATCCTTCCACTTCTTAATCCTCGTGTAAATCAATCTTTGAGCAGCTATAAGATTGTACATTTTGAATTTAAAATTTTCAAATTGAATTCAAATTTAATGAAAAATGTGCTCTTTGGTCCATCGGAAGTTGGAAGTACAAAGCTCATAAAGAACTCACCTTATTAACATTTCACATTTATTTATACAATCTTTGCATTTGGTACATAATAAACATTTTCCTCGTAAAGTAGTCCGAAATTTATTCACCTAATAACTCCTGCACACTAAAACTACCGCGACCCCCCATTTCTCATTTACTCACTTCAACTACCCAACCTGCCCTGCCCTTTCCCCCTCTGCCCGTTTCTCCTTTTCTCTCTCCTCCTATACCCACAATCCAACGGCCCACATTTAATCACCACCTCTTATCCCCAACCGTTGGATCCCCACAACATAGAAACACTCACCCAGGAAAATGACCATCCCCCTTCTATCTAAAATAAAAATAATAAAAATTAAAAATACGTGGCAAAAGGATAGAGCCAGTCGCCAAACATTTGCCAATATAAGTACCCCTCACCTCCCCCACACCCCTTCCTCCTTTCTCACACCTAAAATATCTTCTTCTTCATCTTTTTTTCTAGTGAGAGAAACAAACTGAACTAAATCACTCTCTACTCAAAAATGGAGGATCAAGGCGGAGAGAGGCTCAAGGGAACGGTGAAGTGGTTCAACGACACCAAGGGGTTCGGCTTCATCACTCCATCTGAAGGCGGCGAAGATCTGTTCGTTCACCAGTCATCCATCCGATCTGAGGGGTTCCGTTCACTCGGTGATGGTGAAGAGGTTGAGTTTCTCATCTCTACTGGTGATGACGGTCGTACTAAGGCTGTTGATGTCACTGGCCCTAATGAAGGCCCTATCCAAGCCTCCACTCGTCGCGGCGGAGGCGGCGGTGGTGGCGGTGGGGGTTACGGCGGTGGCGGTGAGGGTAGGAGATCTGGCGGTGGGTATGGAGGTGGTGGCTACGGCGGTGGAGGCGGCGGATATGGCGGTGGTGGGTATGGAGGAGGTGGTGGTGGGTACGGTGGAGGAGGCGGTGGTGGAAACTGCTACAGTTGTGGTGAGCCAGGACACATGGCGAGGGAATGTCCGAGTGGCGGCGGAGGAGGTGGAGGAAGGTACGGTGGAGGAGGCGGTGGCCGAGGAGGAGGAGGTGGTGGTGGAAACTGCTACTCCTGTGGAGGTGATGGACACTTTGCGAGGGACTGTACTGCTGCTCGTTGATCAATGATGATGAATTAAAATGTTTTTAAGGTTATTATTATTATTATTGTTATGGTTTAGTATGTTGGTTTATGATTATTAGGGTTGTTTGTGGGTTTTTGGGAGAAAATATTTTGTGGGGGTTTAAGATGTATTTTCTCTCTAATTTTTATTGTTACAACTAGTTTGTCGGCTATGGTGAATTAGGGTATGATAAGAAGGGTAGTAGGAGTCTTTTAATTTTATTTTGTTTTACTTTTGAAGAAGATAAAAAAATCAAGAATGGAGATGTTTTGACAAGATATTTTAGATGAGATTATGCATTATCTATCATCCTTTTGATTGTTATAATCTCTGTTGAAAAATGTCAATATTAATGAAATATACTTCCTTCCCTTTTTTTTATTTATAAATATTTTGTTCCACTGTTTATTTTATTTGTTTCCTTTGTTTTGGATTTAATTTGCTTGATTTTGTTCATGATTAATATTCATATATATTTTGAACCAGATACATGCTCAATATCTTTTACTGTTTTTTTAAAAGTAGTTGATGTTGAAAATGGAGTAATTTGTATGAATTTAATATGGCCAATTAGGGTTAATTGTTAATTAATGTACTCCTTCAGTCTCTCCTATTGGTATGCTCCAATTACTTCATTGCATAAAATCCCATGCTTAACTAGTGGTAAGCCAATAAAGACATGAAATTATGTAATTGGCAATTTGACATTATGAAATAATTGTTCATCTTGAAAGAAGCAAATAATTTGGATTTTGAAATACTGTTGTCTAGGTTGGAATTTGTACCACAAACAGTAGCTCTTCCCTTGAGGTTCCTATGTTGAAGAGTCCAAATTATATAATCTTGAATACTTGATGTCTTGGAAAGACTATTTTACTCCAATAGTCCATTTTTCTGGGGAAGTATTCTATTCTACTCCAATTAATTATCTGTTCCGAAAATGTTAGTTATGAATTGAATTGAATTGAAACGATCCATTGTTGAAACCTTTTTCAAAGAGTGACACTTGGACTCTTTGCATTCTATCAAAAGGGTTTGTTACTGTGGAAGCATGTTTGTTTGATAATTACAGTAAAAGCAAATATTTTGGCATGAGAAACTATCAAAATTGTGTATTAGATTAGAGGGATTTTTCAAATAATGGGCATCTTATCACTACTAGTTTCATGCCATTTGTTCTCTCAAGTAGGACCCTAGAAATGAGAAGGACAAGAAATATTCATTCTAAATCATGAGTCCCATGGGAGCATTGTTAAGGCCAGAAGAATCATGGAAATATGGAATGAGAGAGACTAATAACATGATAGTTGTTACCATTGTAATAATATGATTACAACGATCTCATTTTTTTTTTTTTTTGATGTTTAATGAGCCACAAAGGGCGATCAATAACATCATTATAGCACACTACTATTTTGATGGTGTTTCGGGTATTTAGCTTGGTACGGTGTATTATGCTACGACGCTATGTGAGTATGAAAAATTACAGAAATGTCTTATTACATGTTTATGTCGTGTATATATCATGTATTTAGAAGACAAATATGTGACTGATCAAAACTTAACAGTAAAAAAACGAAAAGCATAAATAAACTGTGCTGAAATTTACAATCTAACCACTACTTCAAAACAGATAACATATGCACTAAATAAACTACTCCGTAATAATAAAGAAAAAAAAAATACGGAAGATTGGAGAAAATCTTGCAAGGACAAGAAAAAATGGATATGAAAGACTGGTCAAAGGGAAGAAGACAAATATACCCTATCAATTTGGGGGACCTATGAATGCGCACTATGAATGCATGTCAGTATGCCACCACCCTCAACTGCTGCATAACAAGAACAAGGTGCGACCATATCCTATTTTTGTGTGTGACACAAAAACTGTGTCTTCGTCCTTCTTTTTACTTACTACGAGTACTCCTACTATAGTAAATGTTAATCATATCAACTCAAATTATACGACACCACTAAACAATTATTAGTGTATAATCTCTGTGTTATTTAGCACCCATCATAATTATTTGTCCAAATTTTATCTTTGTATTATTATTGCTCATGACTAAAGTATTTATTCTATATAAGTAATATAACCTAAACGTACTTATGTTTTTAGAATTTTGTGCTTTATTTTTGCGATTATTGTAGTTTTGCACTTCAATTATTACAATGTTAAAAAAAAAAAAACAACGCATTATTAGTCGTTGCTTAAACAACGATCATACTAGCTATAGGTCTATAGCTATTTTTTGTTTTATTTTGAGATTAAAGGCTTTTTTTGGCAAAATTATAGTTATAAAGATAGATAATTAAATTATGATTGTATGAGTGTTCAATAAAGTAGTTATTGACTAGCTGTAACATACAAGAAATAATAAAAGCAATTCAAAAACTAGTGTCAAACACGCCCTATGTGTTAAATTAATTATTTTATATAATTTTCAATAGTTTCAAGTTTTCAACCACTAACTATTTTTGTGTTACTACAAAGTCTTCAATACTAATGAGTCTAAATACTTTTCATTAAACCAGTACCTATTTTTGTGTTTCTAATACTACTCACCAAGACACCAAGGTATATAGATCAGATTGGCCAACATTCTTTGTAACTAAGACATCAGTCAACTATAAAAAGGAAAAGTTTACAACTCACTTGCATCAGATAATTAGAAAATTTCCTGAAAATAGATGGAATTAGCGTTGAAACCTTTACTCTTGATGCATTGTATCATTATGCCCTAATAAAGCATGCCTTCCTCTGTTGCAAGCATAAGTCATTGATGAAATTTTCACATCACGTACATAAAGAAATATGTTATATAAATTTAGCAAAATGTATAAAATGAGTATTTTGACATGTTATCCGTAATTGTGATGACTTTTCTTGGGAGCAAGAGGTTGAGTATAGATGAATAATAAGAAGAATATTAGTTATGTAAAGTAAATATAATAATAGAAACAAATTGTAATAAAGCAAATCGTAAATAACATTAAAAATGGATCAAAACAAAAAGTGAAAAAATATTTGTGAAACATAAAAAGTACTCCGTATATGGTAGTATTACAAGTATATTTGTACTCCGAAGTATTAAAGCTATTGCAATTCTTAGGCCTCGTTTGGTTGCATATGGGAATTAAACGTCTACACGAAGTTACAATATATTGGAAAATTTATTGCCTAGGATATACTAAAATTGTACATATAGAAAATCGTATTTCTCATGAATTAGTTTCCTATGTTTTGTTTGGTTAACTTATGTAATACCTATGTATTATTATAACTTGAACTACTTTTCCAAAATTTTGAGGATAATAATGTAATTTCACCCAAAATACATGTGAAAAGTTTGAGTGACCAAGGTAGAATGTGGGAAATTAATTCCCATGTTTTGTAGGAATTTCAATTTCCTTAGGAATTTCCCCTTCCTACATTATTGTTAACCAAACAACTACTTTTAAACACATTTTCCATAAATTTATATTTCCCTGGTTATTAAAGTACAACCAAATAAGGCATTAATGAACGATGGTTCACGCTTATTACATACGGTTAGTTTGATGATGACAAAAAATGATGTTATTGGATAATTGGTTGTGAAACATGTCATGACTAATGAGATGATTGGTCATCAAGAAAAGCTCACGACAATTGACAAGTGTCACATCTCAAATTACATTGAAGTTTTTTTTTTTTTTTTTTTTTATTTAATTTAGTTTATGGATAAGGGATAACAATTAGCAAGGTCACTGCTATAAAATGCCAACGTATCATTAAAGATGAATACTCCCGAACAACTTAGCTAGAATACCCACTCATTTTGTATAGTTTGTAGTTTTGTACTGTAGTGTTCGAATCGTTTTGCCCATAGTTTTGTAGCACTGGGCCGCTGACCAACTATGGGATGCCCACTCAATTTCTACCAGCTCCTAGTTGGTTCTAACATTGCATTTTTATACTCCCTCCACTCTCTTTCGACTTTTAATATACATATTTGACTATTAGTAATATACGGAGTACAAAATATAGATTTGTATTAATAGAAACCATAAGATGTCAATATTAAAAAATAAAAATGCATTCAAGTAAATCTAATAACACATTGATTAGGAAAAACACAAATACTTGAAGTATCGACTAAATCATCCTTTTCATATGAATTACAATGCACTTAGTAATGGGATGATTATTGAAGTGAATGAACAACATCCTAACTCTAAAACCATCAAATAAACTAGACCCAATTCACAAGAAACTTTGTGTGATTAATTATTGCTTCGCTTCATAGATATAGTTTCTTTTATATACATAAAAAAAACAAATTTAAAAAAATGATGCTGATTCTTCCTACAATAATACCAGTAATAATAATGATGCTAATACAAAAGTATGAAGTGAATATAATTGTTGTGGGATCAAAATAAAAGTATGGATGGGTCTAGTCCATTAATAGTGGCACGCATCAAATGCAGATAAGATGCTCTTCTTCCCGTGTGATTGAGCACCCTGTTCTGTAATGAAATGAACTTTCCAATTTATAGCTGATTTGTCACATCTTCTCTGTCATGTATTCAAGAGTTCCAAAGTGTCTGCCTGAGTACCTGATATAACTCCCCTTTTAAGTAAAAATAAATGACCTAGATTTTCTAACCTCTTTTGTCATGTTTTTTGGAGGGTAATATTATTTGATAATTCGGTTCGGATTCAAGTCGGATTGGACTTCAATAAATAAAGTTGCATTTTCTACTGCATGTATTACTATAGTCTTGATCCAAACATTTGTTGTTAGCATGTTATTTATTTCTTATTATGTGTTCATGATAAGTATTGTAACAATTAAAGGGATTAAAAATGCTTATGCAAGGGCTAGCTTGATGTTTTACATAATTTATAATGATCTAATATAAATTATTTTTACTTATCAAACTTGTTTGAACTTAAGCTATATATGACTATCAGAACCATTCACTTAAGGTTAAACCACTCTTGTGAATCTCCTACCAAAGGCCCAAAGCTACCCAATATATTGGTGACCAATGTGATATTTGCCTAACCTTAAGAGAATGGCTCTAACTCTCGAGGTAAATGTGCAGTAATGCATGAGCTTCTGTGACTCTTGAATAGTTAAAACAGATCAGAAAGGGTTTTACACTTACACTAACTATGATTATCAGCACATTATACTAACTTATTTTTTTTGTAAGGAGAAGACTTTTCATAAGAGAGGAGGATTAGGAAAATCCTTTATATATCAAGTTTGGAACGTCTTGACCCCTAATCTCACGCCTAGAAGTTAGTTTGACTCCTACCTAACGAGTACGTGAATGGTTATTTTTTTTTGAGGGAGAATACTTGAGTAGCTACATTACTATATA